ACATTTTAAGGCCCTGTGAAATATTTTATTTTTTTCTCAAATTCAGTTTTATTTTTACAAAATTCTGTTTTTACAAAATTACATTGTAATGGTTTCGTTAAATTTTAATAATCAAAGCATCTCTAATTAATTGATTTTAAAATAATAATTTATTATTATTATTATTATTTTTTTTTTTTAAGTATTCATATTTTGAATTAAATCAGTGAATTAAATGAAATTCCTGTGAGAGCTAGAGGGTTAAAGAGATGCATTTGCTTTGTAAGAGTGTTTTACACACGCACCCGTTGAAGCAGTGGGCCGCAGTCACAACCCAGTGCGGAGACACCAGTGACCCTCCACAAGTGTGCTGGCCGACGCTCAGCAGGCTGACCTGCCACGGCCAGTTCTCAATGATAGCGTCCTGTCCGCCTACAATCCGGTCCTGGTTTCTGGACAACCCACACTCTGCTGCAAAATAAAACAGCCAATAATAAATCAAAACAGAAATCACACACAAAATGTGCCTGTCATCATAAGAAAAGAATATATGATATTAAAGTTGCATGTTCTAATAATATTTAACAATACAAATATGTCATAAATATATAATCATATGTCGTTCCTAGTACAGTACATCACAAGGGACAGTTTAACCAAATATGAAGCTAAATGTCTGCAGTTCTCATCTTGTTCTCTTTCTTTAAACATGGCATGTTTTCTTTGGCATGTTAAATTGTCCGGTCCAAATGACTGAACACACCTCTGATGCTGTATTACTAGTTTTGTGCTTGATGTAATTATCAGTGTGTTTCATTATTGATAATGACTTAATTGGCTGTTGGATTAGGACTCCATATTTACCTGAGCATGTTAACGCAACGACTGCTCCCTGACTGCATACTTTACTGAGAAAGAGAGAGAAAACATGGGAGAATGTCATGCATATAACCAAAACTAATAATGGCTACAGCAACCCCAAAAATATGAGGAAATTTGATTCATACTTAACATTTGACAACCAGAAAAATGCCAAATACTTTTGTCTTAATTGTAAACATCTACTGCTTTATCATTTAAAACCCTTCATTTTCTGAAATGTTTAGCTTCAAAAGTGCCCAGTCCTTTCAAGGCTACTGTATGTACATAAGAACAGTGTATAAATCTACTCACAGATCTGATACAGTCGACTGGAAAGTCTGGGGTTTAGATGAGCCCACCGTACAGAAAGACATCTTCAGATCAGTCGGCAATATACCCACTTGAACTGCACTGAAAGTGGGTTTACTAAAAACAGAAAAAAAACACAAGACAATGACACTGAGATCAAATGATGAGCTGTATTCTGACATGTATTTAGAATTCTAAAATGTTTACATGAGGTTTTCATCCAAGATGGATATTAGTTAACTAAAACTTCAAAACTTTTGTTACTTGAAATATACAGCTCGTGAAATAAAATATGAAAAAGCTTATTTTCTTTCAGTCAGCTAGTTGAAACTAGCTATAAACTATAAACTATACCAAAATAACTAAAACTGAAATAATATTAAATACAAATCATAATATATATGTATGTGACCCTGGAGCACAAAACCAGTCTTAAGTCGCTGGGGTACATTATAGCAATAGGTAAAAAAAAACATTTATTATTTTTATTTTTATTTCATTTTATTTCAATATTTCATTTCATTTTTTTTCATTATTTTATATATTCATATTCACATTGTGAAAAAAAAAAAACTAATATAAATGGTAAAATGCACAACACAATTACTAAAACTAACCAATATTAAAATGAAAACAGAAAATAAAGAACTAAAAAATAAAAATATTAATAAACCCAGTAGTATTGACGTATTTCTTGTTGAAACAGGAAGTTGTTAAGTGTGTGTTTTGTGGACCAAAACTCACGCTGAGTAGCCCAGCTGTTGGCACGCAGTCTCAGCATGTTGTTGGGTGAAACTGTCTGCACATACACTTTTCCATTTTTTCTCATCAGGCCTGAATATCTGCAGCACATTGCGGGTTGTCATCAGCCGTACTGTGGAGACAGAGACAGAGAAACAGTTTTAAAATTCATATATATATATATATATATATATATATATAGTCTTTTAACATATAACTGACATTCAGGAAATCAGACAGAAAGAAGGTTAGGTTGGGGGATTTGTCTTGTTTATCCGGAAACCAGACAGGTTCTAGCAGTGCTGACTGCACACATGTCGGTGAGCAGGTATGTGGGTGTGCGTGTGTGTGTGTGTGTGTGTGCGTGTGTGTGTGTCTTACGGGGGAAAGTGGAGTTGACTCCAAACTTCGTGACACAGGCTGACTCATCCTCGGCTCCGCTGCAGTCCTCCTTCCCATCACAGGCCTTCTCCAGCGGAATGAACTTCACTGACTTGGAGCAAAAATAATACTTGCTCTCAATCAACTGCTTGACTGTTTCATGAAGAGGAAGAAAGAGTAAAAACAGCACTTGTTATTAAAACAACCAACAATGAGGTTAAATGAATCAGTCTGTTTTTGTTTCTTGAGTCACAACGGTCAAAAGAGTGACTAAATAACTGTTACTGATGAGAAGATCAGACTTGTCAATTTGTGACTCATTTTTATTGCGAAAAGTGAAGGTGTGAAAGGTTATAAACAGAAAATATTAGGTCAAATTAAAAACAAACATTAAAGATGCCTGCATCTCAAATGAACTGTATTCTCAGGACAATATTTATTTTATTTTATTTTATTTTATTCAAGTTGTAAACATTTTAAATGTTATAAATGTTATAAAATATATTCATTCATAACTTGTTGATTCAACACATGTTGAAAATCGTATGCATCTATAGCATTCATATTTACAGCAAATAATGTATGCAATGTGTTGCCGTTTTAATGTTTTAAATGTTATAAATTCATGCAAGGTAGTAATTAAAATGTTCACAAGTATTTAAAAAATATATATTTATACAATGCATTAATTACTCTGAATTTGATATATGTGCATGTTAAAATGTATAAATTATACAATATATTAATTGCCATTTTCAAATGTTTTCAGTGTTATTAATCCATACAATGTTTTGCTATGCATAACAGTTTTCATGTTTAACATTGTTTTAGATGTGATACATTTATACAGTTTATTGGATTGTTATACATTTATGTGATATATTACAGTTTAACACTTTGAATTATTATTTGTACAAAGTATTAATTGAAATTTTCCACAAATTTGAAATATTATTCATGTTTTCATATTAAATATTTATGCAGTTTTCATGCTTATAAGTTTATACAATGCATTAATTTTACATTTGCTATGATCTATGCATGTTATTTTAAGTCTACCATTTAATATGTATGCATGGTAGCTTTTATAGTTTTGCTGTTAAGTAATCTTTCCATTTCATAAGTGTTTTACTGTTTAAACTGTGATATATAAGCTGTTTAATGACAGCTTGCCTATACAGTCTAATAGCGCTTGTTCATTTAATTGAATCATTCGAAATTTCCAATAACTTTAATTATAACTCCCCCAAATAACTCCCTGAGAAATATTCACTGGAGTGAAAGCAGGACAACTAGCCTCAGCCTTCATAATTTTCTTAACCATGTGTGCTCAAATGAAATCCAGGCGGGGTTAAAATGACCTAGAACTTACTGAAGAAAGCAGCCACAGCCACAATGGCCAGTACAACCACCACCATCACGACTGTAATGATGATCTTTTTCCTGTTCGGAGTCTTCGGAGCCGTCATGAGTTTTCTGCGTTTTCCAGGCCGAGCCGCTGAAGAAGAATATGAAAATCAGTTGAACTCAGTACAGGGTGTGGTTTCTTTCTCGTAATGCACCCACTTAAATCATGAGTATTACAATGGAGGGTATTTACTGGGCTGATAAATCAGGTGATGCATTAGACCAGCTTTACCTTGTTGCTGTGGTGAGTTTAAGGGTCTGGTGTTCTCTTCAGGAACCTGAACTGTAGTCTGGGAATGAGAATGAGGAAGAGAGAAGAGGAAAGAGAAAGTGAGAGGTTATTTTGTTATTTTTCACACACACAAACCCCTAAAGCTTTATGACTCAGCTGTAGTTTTCTGTATCGTTTTCAATGTGTCACAAGGGATTTTTTTTCCAAGTTGTTCTTGAAATCTCTCACACTTCCTTGTAAACTAGCCTACTCAGCTTAAACATGTAGGCAGCAAGAAATAAACAGTAGCTGCATTTATTACACTCTGAGGTTCAGCAGCAGACCGCAGGACGTTAATGAGTTAGAATGTTTGATAGATAGATATTATGTGTATTATATGTTGATTCTTGGTTATATAATCCAATGGGCTTTCGCATCTCTTTCAATTTTACCCCTGTTGATCTGGGATGGTTATTTCAGTCACTGATATGGAAAATTATATTAGTCCCAATGGTGTTATGCTCAGAGACCAATACTCTCCTGACAGCTCAGGCACATTTCTCTCCTGCATTTATGCAAATCTAATTTTGATTGTATCAGAGGCAACACTAATGTAGACAGTGGTTTATTTTGAGAACCTGTATATGATTGTTCATGACTGGGCATTTGTATCCATTACAAATAATTTTCAGAAAATAATCATTGTAGTTTTAAAAACATACTAAACTATCTTTAAACTTTAATGTCTCCTTAAAGACCTCTTCCTATTTATTTTAATGTGTACGAGGCTAAATAAACCAGAAATGTCACATCTGAGAATGTGAGGTGAAACTTTTACGTCAGCCTACTAGTCAAAACAGTGACTAACACTTAGCATCAGTCTAACGGATGATTCCAGACAGCTCTGTCACTCAAAACACCCCATAAAATAACAGTCAGAACAAACTGTTTCCAAACACGCATCCAGTCTCGACAAGAACATGAGACTCTCCAGACTAACGCCTATTTTATTATTGTCGAAGAAGACCTGAATGAAAAAAAAGCCTTATTTGAATAAGGAAAAATGTGTGACTTAATATTCATGTGCTGTACTGTAAGTTTATTCAGTAAAAGCTGCCATTTAAATTAATTAATGGAAATAACTTTAATCTATCGTTACTACTGTATTGATTTATTGATACTATACACAATAGCATAGATGTCTGTTGAGATTGCATCAAGACAACATAAAATAGTTATTTAAAGTTACATACACAGATGTTAATGTTTAAAGGGATAGTTCAGACAAACTGCAAATTCTTCACCCTCGTGTCGTTCCAAAGCCGTAAGACCATTGTTCATCTTCAGAACACAAATTAAGATATTTTTGATTAAATCTGAGAGCTTTCTGACCCTACATAGACAGCAACGCAACTATCACATTCAAGGCCCAGAAACATAGTAAGGACATTGTTAAAATAGTCCATGTGACATCAGTGGTTCAACCTTAATTTTATGAGGCTACAAGAATACTTTTTGTGCGCAAAGAAAACAAAAATAATGATTTATTCTCTTCCATGTCAGTCTTCGCAATACGTTCACGAGAGTACCATGCATTTATACTGACACGGAAGAAAATTCATTGTTGAATAAAGTTGTTGGAATGACATGAGGGTGAGTAATTAATCACAGATTTTTCATTTTTGGGTGAACTATCCCTCTAATATTTAAGATTTTATTAGTGCACAATATAAAATTTCCCTAATAAAATATAAACTAGATTCGATAGATAGATAGATAGATAGATAGATATGTAGATTTCATTCTAGAAATTGGTTTGCAAGTGCCCAGAATTGTACATCATTACAGTCAAACAACAAATGAGTCAGAGTTTCCTTTTCATCATTATGGAATGTGCAAACTTCTTGAATTTCAGCGCACTTAGCAACCAAGATGTTGCCAGGATATATATATATATATATAAAAAGCCCAATTGCTACTAAAAACTACCGCGGGAAAACCGCGGACTTGGCAACACTGCGAAGTTGCGCAGGCGCTGTGAGGG